TTTTTAAAAAAAGATGACCGGTAAGGGGATCTTAACCCTTGACTTGGTGTTGTCAGCAGCACCACGCTCTCCTAAGTGAGCAAACTGGCCACCCCTATATACGGATCTGAACCTGTGGCCTTGGTGTTATCAGCACCACACTCTCCCACAATTCATTTTTTAAACAACGTGAGACTAACTAATTTAAAAGTATTTAATTTGTAAACTAACAAGGTATCAAAAATGTAATTCTGTGACATCAACTGAAAGTCACAGGGCAAAGCCGTTAAAAAAGCAGAGTTTTTGTAGATTGTTGAAGTTAAGCTGGTATAAATTCAGATTACTGATGTCATTTTTGGATATTAAATCTAATCCCCATGGCATTTAAAATTGAAAAAGCGAAAAAAAATACACATTTTAAACATTTCACTACAAAAACATCAACTAAACACAATGAGGGAATGAGGGACAAAAACAGCAACAAGGCATACTGAAAATGACAGAATTAAGTCCTTCTTTATTGCTACTTTAAATATACTGAACTCCCCTATCAAAAGAGAGAGAATGGCAGAATTGATTTTTTAAAAATCCAATTACATGCTTTCTACAACACATTCACCTTAGACCCCAAAGAGAAAAAAAACACTGAAAGTAAAAACATGAAAATGAACAGTGTAAGTAGTAACAGAAAGCGAGTGGGGGTGATTATACTAATATCAGATAAAACAGGCTTTAAACCAAAAAAGTTTACAATGAAAAAAGAAATTGTACAGTAATAAACGGATCAATACAACAATAATTATAAACATTTACATAATAAACTATCAAAATATATAAAGCAAAAATTGACAGAAAAGAAGGGAGAAATAGACTATTTTACAATAATAGATATAAACTTCAATAACCTACTCTCAAGTAGAACAACAGAGAAAATAATTAAGAGAAGACTGGAACAACACAATAAAGCAAATATATGTAACAGACATACACAATAATCTACAAACAACAGAATACATGTTCCCCTCAAGTGCACAAGGGGCATTTTCCTGAAAAGACCCAGTAAGTTCACAAATTCAGTTTCAATAGATTTAAAAGACAGATAAAGTATCTTCTCTGACTACAAGGAATTAGAAATCAATAACAGAAGGAAAGGAAACCCCGGAAAACTCACAAATTTGTAGAAATGAGAAAACACACTCCTAAACCACTGTTATCAAAGAAAAGGTGAAAAAGAAAATTAAAAAATAGTTGGACATGAATGAAAATAAAAATACACCATAATAAAACTGTGGAACACAATGAAACCATTGCAGAGAGAGAAATTTATATCCATAAATACTAACATTACAAAATTTCAAATCAACAAACTAACTTATTACAAATGAAGGAATTAGGGCCAGCCTGGTGGCTCACTTGGGAGAGTGTGGCGCTGGGAGCGCCTAGGCCACAGGGTTCGGATCCTATATAGGGATGGCCGGTGCACTCACTGGCTGAGTGTGGTGCGGACCACATTGTGCCAAGGGTTGCGATTCCCCTTACTGGCCAAAAAAAAAAAAAAAAAAAAAAAACCCAACAAATGAATGGAATTAGAGAAACAACAAACACAAAGTGAGAAAAAGGAAGCAATAAAGATTGGAGCAGAGATGTACAAAATAGAGAAAATAATTAGCAAAATCAAATGTTCGTTCAAAAAAAAAAAACAACTAAAATTTGACAGCTAGACGAACTAAAAAATAAGAACGTGCTCAAATTAGCAAAACTAGAAATGAATCATAACACTGAATCATAAATGAAATTATCATTAACTGATTCTACAGAAATATAAAGGATTATAAGAATAATATAAGGCATTGTGCATCACGAAATTGGATAACCTACGTGAAATTGACCAATTTTTACAAACACAAAATCTACCAAGCCTAAACCATAAATAAATAGAAAATGTTAAAAGACCTGTAATTAGTATGGGGACTAAATCAGTAATGGAAAAAATCTCCCAACAAAGAAAAGCCTGGACCTGATGGCTTCACTGGAGAATTCCACCAAATATTTAAAGATCTAACATCAATACTTCTCAAACTTTTCTAAAAATTCAAGGAGAGAACACATCTAAACTCATTTTATGGGGCCAGCATTACCCTCATACCAAAGACAAAGACAAAGTAAAAACTACAGACCAATATCCCTTACAGACATTGGTGCAAAAATCCTCAATAAAATACTAGCAAAGCCAATTCAAAATCACATTAAAAGATTAATTCATGGAAGGCAAGGATGGTTCAACATACAAAAATCAATCAATGGAATACACATTAACAGAATTAAGTGGGGGGGAACAAACCCTGCCATCTGAACAGATGCGGGAAAAGCATGACAAAATTCAAAACCCTTTCATAATAAAAACATTCAACAAGTTAGGAACAGAAAGAAACCACATATACACAGTAGAAGTCATACATGAAAAATCCAAGTGAACATCATTGTCAATGGTGAAATACTGAATGCTTTTTATCTAATATCAGTTACAAAATAAGGAAGCCCACTTTGTTACTTCTATTAAATAGGGTACACTGTAAGTCCTAGCCAGAGCAATTAGGTAAGAAAAATAAATGGCACCCAAATTGGAAAAGAGGAAAATTAACTTGAATAGACATTTCACCAAAGAAGATATACAAATGGTCAATAAGAACATAAATAGATGCTTGACATAACTAATCTGTAGGGAAATGCAAATAAAAACTACAATGAGTTAACACCTTACATCAATATGGACGGCTACTTTCAACAAAACAAACTAGTAAGTGCTGAGGATGTGTAACCATTTAAAGCAGTATTGGTGGGGATGTAAAATGGTGCAGCTGCTAATGGGAAAACAACATGATGGATCCTCAAAAAATTCAAAGAATCACCATATGATCCATCAATTCCACTTTGGGTACATACTCTAAACTGAAAGCATGGACTCGAAGAGATATTTGTAAATCCATGTTTACAGCAGCATTATTTCCAATATCTGAAATGAGGAATTAACCCAAGTGTCCGTCAACAGATAAATGGATAACCAAGATGTGATATATACATATAACAGAATATTATTCAGCCATAAAAGGAAGGTAATTCTGACAAATGCTACAACATGGATAAATATAGAAGTTATTATTCTAAGTAAAATAAGGCAGTCAGAAAAAGACAAATGCTAATACTCCACTCAAAAAGTAGAATGGTGACTGCCAGAGTCTGGGGAAAAGGGGCAATAGGGAGTTACTGATAGCTAAGGAGTTTCAGTTTTGCAGGATGAACAATTCTGGACATAGATGATGGTGATAACTGCACTTAACACGTGAATAATGAATGGACTTAATACCACCATATTTTCTATTAGTTTTTTTAAAAAGGTTATTTTATTTAAAAATGGCTAAAACAGTAAATTTTATGTTATCTGTATTTTAAAATACAAATACATGTATTTCCTCAGTATTTACTGCAAGGGCTCACAAGCAGTAATAACCCAGTACAACAATCCCAGCACCCATCTTACTTTCTAAATACCATTCTCCACAATGAACCAAGGATCCAAGGAGAAATGGTAGGTTATACAACTAGAGCAGGATTTTTAAAAAATGAAACTTGATACTGTTGTGTGGCCAGAAATTAAATAAGTACTCGAGACTAAAGAAATGCTGAAAAGACACAGGAGCCAACTTGAGAGCTCTGAATGACAGGATGTGGAGCAATCTGACCAAAACCAAAAATTATACTGATGAATTTAATTCACAGAATGAATCAAATAAAGATGAGCCCACACTAACACAAATAATTAAAATATGCAATGGGAAGTAAGGGACGATTCTTCCTTAGAATACAAAATTCTAACTCTGATTAATCAAACAGGGCTGACATAAATTTTTAAAAAGCACAATCTGGTAAACACCATCATAGTAAATATCGCAGGCAAAAGACGTCAATGCATGTTGAAATTTGTAAATAAAAGTACGATGACAACAATGTATCTCCCTCCCCCAAAAGATACTAATTAATGATAATACAAAGTAATCAAAGTAACATCACTAGTAAAAACATCAACATATGTGCTCCCTGGTGATGAACGAAGAACATGAAATAATTCAGCATTAAATCATGGACCAAGAAAATTACACGAACACTGCAAATACTAAAGAGGTATGCATATCAGTTAACACAAGTATATCAATGTTTGTTTCCTGGTTTAGATAATTAATTATATGTTAATATGAGAGTAAGATGGAAGAAAAAATAAGAAACTACATACTACTGTTTCAACACTTTGTAACCCAACACTTATTTCAATATAAAAAACTTGTGAAAGAAATTACACTAATATTTCTTGTGTTCAACCTATGCCAAAAATTTTCGGTCATTAAAGCAATACAAAACCCTGACAAAAACATAACAAACATAAAGCTGTTTGCTTAGAAATATCATTTCAAAAATTCCAAATAATATTCTAACTATAATTAGAAAGTATGTATTTTAAAAATAAATTTACATCATTCTCAGGATGGATGAATGTTCAATTTTAGAAATAGCTCATTTTCATCCTCACAATAATTTTAGAAGAAGTACGATAAAACTATAATGCAAAAAGACATTTTATTAAATCTGTCATCAAATCTGGTGAAAAATCTTCATAAAAGAAAGTTTCCTAAAATGACCAATATGAACATAAACAACTTCAAACTCAGGATTCATATTAACAGTCAAATAGCCAAGGATACTTTCTACTTCCATATATTCTAGAATTAGTAATCAAAAGTTATAAAGATTAAATAAAAATGATGATGAATACTTAGAAAACCATAATTTTAAAAATTCAATGAAATGCTATTAGAAAAGGTATACGAATTTTCATGTCAGAAAGTTAACTGAGTGAATAATCACTTATTAACAAAATCATGAAATGCCTAGAATGAAAAAAGCTTTTAAATAAAATTGTACTAACATTATCTCAATATAATTATTTGATTAAAATTAAAAAGACATACCTTGCAGCTGGATAGGAAGACTCAATTTTAAAGAGATCTATTCTCTCCTAATTAATCTATTAAATTTCACGCAAATGAAATTAAAACCGCATTTTTTCCCAACTTGCAAGATAATTGTAAGCGTCAATTGAGAGAAAAAAAATAGGAGTACAGACAGGGAATATTCTGAAAAAGAAGAGAAATGAGATAGAACTCAATGGAATAGATAAGATACTATAAATCATCAGTGCCAATAGAAGGTAACAAATGAAAGAAATGTGGTCAATTTTATGTGGAAATTTTTTAAATGATTATGGTAGAATTTAAAATAAGTGACAACTGTTCACATCAATGTGAATGATTTGAGTATTCAATGCATTAATACCACATTACAGTAATAAAAGTAATGACAAAAGTAATTGATGAGAAACAGAAGACAATACATAAACGTATGATACTAAACATGTTTCTAAAGAAAAACACAAACTCAAAAGCCACAAAACACAACATGATATTTCAATCCATAAATTCTGTTTTAATAAAAATTAAACCACTACAGTAAAATAAATGCGAAAACACATGGTACTTCATTTGCAATGGGTGACACAATGTTAACATCCTTAATCATAAATGAGCTCAAAAGTCAATAACAAAGGGGCCAATAATACAATAGAAGTAAAAAGAAAAAAGGAACAGAGAAAAATAAAACACAAATGACTAATAAAGCTATATGACAATGACACAGCTTAACATTAACAGAAGAAAAAAGCAATTTATCTGTAATATTACATTATTGATAACTAAACATACCGATATCTAAAACTGTTTGTACAGTTTTAGGAAGTGGGGGCCTCTTATTCAAACACTGGAGGAACTTACTTCAACTAGGGGAGAATTTCCTCAAAAGGTAAGATTTTGTACATACATTGCCCTAGCAGTTCCAATCCAAAGGAATTATTCCAACAACACATTTGGACAAAATCAAATTTATATATAAGCATGTTCACTAAATAGAGAATCTGTAGGTAATATATTGTATTGTCCCCCCAAAACTTATTTTTATATCAATTTGTTTATGAAAAACCCCAAGGAAGTGCACAAAATTCCAGTAACAGCACATAACATTGGGGAACAGAATTAAAAAGGAATAAAAAGTAAAAATACTCCATTTCACATAATTCTATGTCCTCAAAATTATTGAAAAAAATTTTTAAGAATTAGTTTTAAATTTACCCTGTGACAGGTGGAAATTATAAATATATGCACTTCATACTTATTGAAGCACTGAAACGAAGCCCCTGTAATTTTACAATCCTGAACTTTTCTGTGCAATTAACGTCTCCATCATCCCAGCTCCTGAGATTTAGTCCAATGGCAACAATAAAAAGAATCATCATGGCTAGTTAAAATTATCTTCAATAAACCTTTTATAGCACTTTCCAAAACTGAGCTTTCTCAGTCCAGTATTTATGATCTGCAAGGAGTGTCCACTGCAACACATGTGCATAGTCTCTGTACATTATGAAGCCCATAATTTGGTGATAGAAACAATGGTATAGGTTCCTTTTCAGCATATAGGTTCCTTTTCAGTCATCACCTGAGAGGAGACAGTAGGGAAAATGGGAAAAAGTTTAGAACAAAACTTTTGATTTTTTTTTTGGAAAATGAAATGCAACATACATTCTATCACGAAAAAAGAGCAGGAGGATGAAAATTCCTTTTGAAATTTTCTAACAATAAAAAGGCAAGATACTATACATCCTTATTCTTATACCTTGCCAATATTGACTGATATCTGCAACATTATCCTCATTTTGTTTGTATTTGCTTGCCTGTATCTCTAAGTCATTCATTCATATGTAGAATTATTACACGCGGTCTACATACATTTCTAAACAAGAAACAATAACTAAACATTTCAATAAAAATAACAAAAGGAGCTCAGCTCATTTGATGGGGAAAAAACTGTAATTATACTAAGAATATGCAGGTTACGATGGAATTCTGGAAAAGATATAATTCCTGACATCCTGGGCACCATCAGAAATACTGACAAACAGAATCTACAGACATAACACAATGACTGTTGTTTATCCCAGTTTCAGGATAATGTTACACAGCAATATGTAACCTGAACAGACCTCAATGACAACTAGCTGCTACCAAAAAGCCAGCAAGCTTAAGAAAACCTGGATATATATCAACCCTTGTCCCTCCCCAAATCAAACAAGCAGTCAATCAGCCTTACAATCATACTGCCAAGGAGTGAAGAACACGTGAATGAGAATATCTTAACAGGTAGATTCAATGATGGTAGGTACCAGTCTTGGGATTAAAGACAAAGATGACAAAAGTATCCTTCCTTGAAACTGTCATCCCCTGATAAGGAAAAAGAAACACTGTAAGTAAGATTCACACTACTTTTTAATATCAGCACCTTGTTTGAGGTTTTCATGAATTTCTTTATCACATTACAAAACTGCATTTGTGAAAAGACACATATTATCAATTTCATAATTTCCAATAATTAGACACTTGTCATTTCCTTTATTACCTCACTTGGTCACGTTTAGTCATAAATAAGTAAAATAAAAATACACATTCTATATATACATGGCTTTTTTGTATTAGTTAAAATATCTTTTAAAAACAATTCATTCACCAATTCTTAAGCATGGAAGAAAATTCCAATATGTCCAAGAACAATGTCTGAACCAGTATTATTTTTCCAAGTGCAGGTGTAGCCTTAGCACCCGAACAGCACCAGAACCTTCTTACCTATGATTTGCAGTTAAGACCTATAAATTAAGGGATTCCTTAGTAAAGGAGATGTTCCTGGAGATTTCATCTGTACTCAGGTTAGCTGTAAATATATTTTCCTCTCATCATCACCTGAGAAAAACAGTATCCAATATAGCAATGGTTAGATACAAATCAAGCACTAGAAGGAACATACTAACTAACTAGGATAATTTTAGGCTGGTTGGGTATAGTGAAATTAAGCTGAACCAGCAAATACGACTACTCACAAACATAACGTTTTCACATTTTCTGACCATTTTGAACCACACATTTAGCACAAATGCTGGGAATACTGAAATGTTTCTCCCACTAATTTTTAATTATCTACAAAAACCTAAAGACCTACTTTAAATCCCTCAGACATACTTAACCACTGTAAAAGGAAGGCAATAATCCATTCTCCATTTATATCCAAATTAAGGATAATTCCAACTTATCCCAAGAGATACCCACTGCACTATGCTTATCTAGTGAGTATCCACAAATGTGGCATTGCCACTATGAATATTTACCCTCTTTAAAGAATGTTTCAGTTACTATTTTCTTCACTCGTCTGTTTGTCAATGAAAAACCTACCTCAAAAATTCCATCTTCTCCATTCTTTCTTTGGGTAATCCAAAACTGTTTCACTGTTAAGGCTCTGCTGCACCAATGCCTATGTCATGTGCTCTTCATGAAATCATTCAAAAACCATTCATAACAGCAGCTGGAAATAATAAAGTTGGATAGAACAGCCCAACCCTCTCACAATGTTGATAGGCAAGGATGAAAACAGGCACAATTTCCTTGGTTCTTCAAATGTCCATACTGAAATACCTTTTTAAATTGCAAATGTATGAAGTAGAAGCAGTCCTTCTACTCTCATCTGTCTACACAAGACTTAAATTTTTGCCATGTTCTTCCATACAATTTTCTATTCATATAAATCACATTCACTCTAGATTTTTTCATGTAGCAATATACAAATATGTAAATACACAACCTTTTCCTTTTGAACTCACATGTATATAAGTTTTAAACAAAATGTTAATATAATCACCAGTACCATTAACACTGAGATTAACTGTCAGAATGTCATTCCCCATGTATAATTAACATTTTTATAATTATACCATTAACATTTCAGTTATAAAAACAAGAGGTATATGCACATACTCTATAAACAAACAAACTTGGTTGATGTATTTTAAATATCAATCAATTTAAAATACTACAAAACTTTCCTATCAGAATTTTTTCAGTTTGAATTACATTCACGTTTAAGTTAGCTATACTCATTACTATTTTTCTTTTAATATTAATATTCATATTTCATTTTTATACTCAACCTGTATTTTCTTTGTAAATTTTTGAGAATTCAAACATATAGTCCCAGTGGCCAATTATAACATTTCAAAAAGTTTACATACTCAGTTTGATTGTCATTGCCAATTTGCATTTAAAACATACACTGATTTATACTGTCATCAATACTGGATAGAATCCTCATAGGCAATTTCCCTAATTTACGTTGTATGTAATATTTGTCTGATTATCATATAACATAACTAATACATAAATATCAGTAAAGTTTTAGAAAGCTATCAGAGAAATTAAAAAACTTCATAACCAAAGCTCTGTTCTCATATAGACATCTTATGTAGATGTATAAATTTGAAAATATATTAGAAAACAAATGGTCACAGACCCGCTTATCACTTAATATAAAAATTACCATATGAGGGTACTTCACAAAGTTCATGGAAAGATGCGTACTATTTTTCAATTCTATTTTTCCACAAACTTTGGAAGTACCCTCATACATTTAGATATAACAGTAGGTGGGATTCTAGAAATATTTGCAAGCCTATAAATGAAATACTAGTCCCATAATTTTTTAAATAAAAATAAAATGTAAAGCAATAAGTGAGAAGGTGAAACTATGGTTAATACCCTTGAAATTGCAGTTATCAGATCTATACCACTAAAAATTTTAATATGGAGACAGCAAAACGTTACATGTTCCCAGGCGGCCAATTACTAACTGTCCATTGTAAATGTCTGCCAAAACATTTATGGGAACCAATTTAACTATGATATTTTACAATGAAATATTACAAACTTATAATTAATGTATCCATGCATGTAGAAAAACTAGATTTTTAAAAACATGACCTATTTATCTGTTATTTACAATGCAAGTAAATACAAAACTGTGTGTAATTCAAAGAGGTAGAAAATTTTCCTTATAAATGACACTTCCTATAAGTAATTTAAAAAATATATTTATATAATGCCCTTATCAGCAATATAACTACAAAATGTGTAATACAAGCACTAATCAATGTTTAAAATACAGTCTCTTCTTTTTGATGAAAATTCAGAGTTGAAAATACAAACCCTTCTAACTTTTTCCTTCCCCTAACAAATGACAGATAGCAAAATATGTATAGTCCACGTAGCCCACGATTTTATCAAGTTCACTGCCAAGGCATTTTTAAAAGCAAAACACAAAGAAACCATGAAATTTTACAATGACTTATTTACAAAGTTATACTTTGTGAGACTCTATACATCTAGAAAGACTAGATGTTACAAATCAAAATTTTGTATCTGACTATTATTTACAAAGTTGTCTTGAATACTGTCATGCAACCGAGGGAACATACACAGAACTTTTGTATAGTTCCAAGAGGTAGTATAAAATGTATTCAATTTGTGTCTTAAATGTTAATCACCAAAAAAAAAAAAAAAAAAAAAAAAAAAAAAAAAAAAAAAAAAAAAAACAAAAAAAAAAAAAAAAAAAAACAAAAAAAAAAAAAAAAAAAAACAAAAAAAAAAAAAAAAAAAAACAAAAAAAAAAAAAAAAAAAAACAAAAAAAAAAAAAAAAAAAAAAAAAAAAAGAAAAGAAAAGAAAGAAAGGAAATACTGTGTTAGGAATGTTGTTACAGCCAGAAAATCCAAATGAATTTACATGGCATTTTGTGTAATTTTTTTTTAAATGTTCACTTTATGCTTGATATAATGTCAAACTATATGAGAATGAGGTAAATGCATAGTCTTGCCATTTTTCCGTCTAACATTCAAATTAATATAAGATCAATGCTGTATAGCCCCAAGAGTCTGTTTATCAGTGATCAATTGCGTTGCCATGATCCTTGCAAAAGACAATAGTACTAACAAACTCATAATGAGATATTTTCAAAATTATATTTTGTGAGACTCTTGAAACATCTAGAAATGTCTAAAATTAAATATTTCATTTGCCCATTATTTACAAAGTTGTTTTGATTCCATGCAAAAAATGAACACAGAACTGTATCATTTAGAGATTCTAAAAATGTTCTTAAAAATGAAATGCATCATGAACCTCAGTATATCTAGAACAATAAGATGTATCTACATATCCTTAAGTAGACAGGTTATTTTTACACAAGCAATTTAATTGTTACCATTTAATTTTACTATTAAATAAAAATGTGCGGTAAGAAAAACACTATCTCCCTCCCTAACGTGATAGCATATACAAATAAATATGTAAGATCAAAGATGCTTGTTAACTCAATTTGCAAGTAATTGGTCTTTAATAATCCCAGCAATACAATGAAGACTAGAGGGGAAATAACCTATCATCAAAAGAAAAATGTTTCTACCTTCTAGTTTTCCACTTGTCATCAATATATATACTTACAAAGTTGAAATAGAGCAAATATTATAAACATAGCTCTTTAGTAATTAACTCCAGACAGCCATATGCAAAAATTAAACTGTTTATAACAAGTTAAAATGTTACAATATATGCATATCCACAATCTCTATAAAACAAAAAGTGTATATATAAAAACATGCTTTAAAGATATAACAACTATTTACACAGTATTTTAAAAATCTCACTCAACAATATAGTGGACTGATCTATTCATTTCAACAAACAAAAGGCTTCTGCCGTATATTTTTAAGTAAAATATATTCACAAAATGTAACAGAAATTTCTACACATCTACAAAGGTAGACAACATGTACACAACTAGCAGTCAAACTTCTCCATACCCACTAAATGAAAAAACGGTGGTTAACAATTCTATTGATGAAAGATCTTTTCCACCAGAGTTTAATGTTAACATATTTAGTATATATCATATGCGTGTTTATAGCAGGTCTTTCTACATACCTAGAAAGTTCATGTTATACAAGAAGCTTGTCTTTTATTCATACAGCAGTCAAATTCTCTCTAGCTGTCACACCATATAACAATCCAATAAACACAGCAGAGACAAGCCACCAGTTAAATTGGAATAAGAAAATATACTAATGTGCATATTTACAAATATATTTTCTATACTTTGACAAAAAAATAAATAAATCCTATTATGAAAGCCTCAAAACCCGAAATAAAAGAAATAAAACCCTCAAAACCAAACCTAACATATGCTTGAAGATGCTTACTCTATGGACAAACAATGATTCTACCCCTTTCATTAAAAATATGTCTAAAATATGACTGACAGAAATTGTGTAAGTGAAAATACTTCATAAATATAACAATATAATGTAATAATATATTCCCCATCAACGAAATAAATCCCAAATAAACTTGATCTAGCAATTCAGTTTACCACACAGAAGTGCTTCTGACACTTCTGTATGCAGATGTTATATGAAAAAAAAGTAACACTGTTTGTCCAGCAGCCATACAATATCCTCCAGTAGATTAATATTTCTATACTATGAATTTTAATAAAAATGGATTAATACACACATAAAGATATGTATATGTGTGTACATAGTTTGTGTCAGCAATCCACATAAAGACAATGTTTAAAATTAAAAATATATATTACTATTTTTATACATATAAGGAAATCCCCTTTCAGCTGCTCAATTATTTAGACACAGATTATCTGACAACTATTAGTGGAGGAAAATAAAAGCTTTCACTGTGTGTGTGTGTATTAAAAACATGCAGATAAAACAGTTCCTATGCTTAAAGAAACATAGTAACTGTGTCTACTACATACACATAAAACTGTCCCAGTGATCATACCATGATCTAATGAATTAATGATTTCATATACTATTGGTAGCATCCCCATAAAAGATCATAAATTGCCTCTAAAAACAGAAGTATTTTATATAAAAAACAATTCGCTATTATTGAATGTCAAATTCCACTGGCAAATGGAAACCTTTCTAACCCATGCTATTTGACCACATATGGAGATTTTTGTTATAGAAAAAACTGTGTATTTGTATACAAACAAATCTGAAATCTATTAACAAAAGCCTGACCAACATTTTATTATGACATTTCCACCATGCTGCATCTGTCATAGAAACACTGACCTGTTATATATATCTATACATAGTATTATACTATATATTACGCCATAAGAATATTTCCTGTTATATATACCACAACCTAAAAATTGACTCGAATGAGTCAATGAACAGAGTCCAGATCTAACACCACTATTCACATAAAACTGATTCTATCCTAATAATTTTATAAATATTTACAATGACGTCTATATGCGCAGAAAACTGATGTTAAAAATTACCAAACATTGTAATATTGCTTATAACAAAATGTATAACAATATCCACCAGCAATGAATTAATGTTCAGAGGTGATTTAATGAATTAACTGTTGACTGCAATTTAACGATCACAGTGACAAAATGAAAATAAAAAGTCTACCCTTTTAATACTTTGCATGGAGTAAAGCCTAGAGGCCATGCAAAAACTATCTCTGCACATATGCACACAGCCTTCCAAAACCCCCACCCTCTCAGCTCTAAAATTTACATCTTATATTGCCTACATAGACAAAGCAACCAGGAAATCACAGTCTAACAATTTAACTCCCACTGCCCCCAAACGCAAAATGTCAACCATCTCTATGCTTGTTAAGGTTTAATGATACAATCCTTTTGTCTATTATGCACAGATGATACAAAACCCCACCCAAGCCTGAACATGCAAGTGTTCATAAAGGCTGTCCTCTTCTGCAATACCATCATGCAAAGGAAATTTTATATCATACAAATTTTAACACAGACTATTGACAAAATAGCATCTATACCCATGACCTCTATACATAGAGCAGCCTTAATAAAATTTCTCATTTAACAGTTGAATACACATGTTCCCTCAGAAAAAAAATCCACAGCAATAAAATAAAAGGATTTTAATGAACATCATTCAGAAGTAGTCTAACAATTCTATTTCTTTAACTATACATTAATATATCTCTACATATTTTAGAAAACTCATTGTTAGCAATTTATATACATTAAGAAAATGTCACAAAACAATTATACATATATTCTTTCCTACACTGTATTCTCAAACACACATAAAACAAGAATGCATTTTTTTCTCAGCATATAAAACATTTCCATGTCCCCTTCTTTCCTATTACCCTTCAGTACTCAAAAAATGAATAAACAATTATGTGTACCTTTAAAAGATGACCTAAGAATTCCTTTCTAAAATCTTTTCCAGATGGGGCTGGCCAGTTAGCTCACTTGGTTAGAACATGGTGCTGGTAACACCAAATTCACGGGTTGGATCCCCATATGGATCATCCATCAAAACCAAACAAACAAAAACAACCCCAACAAATAAATAAAATCTCTCAGAAGAACGTTTCGCCAAACATGTTTTTAAAAACTTCCCAGGAAACCAGCTATTTTACTGCAGCAACCACTAAAAATACCTA